ATTTGTTCAAATGTCACTAATGCCTCTAATTTTAAGAGGCTAATAATTAAATCAAGATGAACTGCTGTTTGTCAACAACTGGAATATCAATAGCTGTAGCCTGTCTGCACTGTAATAAGAAAGGATAATATGGATGGCATGTTAGGAATTTTGTATATTTCTGATACTGTTTACCATTCTTGGTGCCTATTTAATAATCTGGTGTGGAAAGGACTTGTTTAGACAGCTGTAGTAGACCTTGGTACCTTACTAAGAAAGAGCTCCAGATCTCCAGCTTTCTGTTTCTAGTTGGTTTTAGTCAGTACAGAATATGTGTAAAAAAATTATTAATGGATCATCTGAAATTTCAGCGCAAGTCTACTTGTAAACTGAAATTAAAGCAGATATGATGTGTGTTTGGATTAGATACAGGCATTTGTCTTCAAATATGCTCCATGTGAAGTAAGCACTTGGTATGCAAAAATTTAGATATGTAATAATGTTGACTTTGAAGCCACCTAGGGTAAATCGCTCCTAGTCTTAGATTCACTGACTGAGCCTTTTAAAATGATTTGCTGGAGAAGAAATAGCTCCCTTTGTCTCTACTGGTGGTATAAAAGCTGGCATAAAAGCCAGCAGCATAGCGTAGTGTTGCCAGCAGTGCTACCTACTCTGTTGATTTTACTTGTTGATTATTTGAATGTGAAAGCAGGACCATGTGTTGATGAACACAGATAGGATGGCAACTGAGTTTCAAGGTGACCTGAAACACTTGAGCTTTAACACGTGCACAGTACTTAAAAATAGCAGGATTTTACTGAAAGAGGAAGTAGCTTTTTTTTTTTTTTTAATCTATCTGAGAAGATCTCTTCTTGCTTTCTCCATTGCACAAGTCTTTGTAGCTGCTAGGCTGGACAAACTTTAGTATTTTCATTCAGAAACACCAATTACTATATTGAATTTTATAAAAGGAACATTCAGATAGTGTATTGCTAGTAGTGGTTAATTCTTTCATCTGTTAAAGGACCATAGATAATACCTGTAAACATGTTTGTTCGGTCAAGATAGAGTTGAGTCTCAAGGGAAGAGGTGGAGTTTGGGATTTGGTGTTGGTATTATTTATGATTAGCTTGTGGGAATTAATTTGCATTCTACAGTATGGACTGTTAAGGCTTCATTTTTGTGGTTAGTTTTGAAATAAGAACAAAAAGTTATGGTTTGTTCAGTGACTGCAACTGAATTTTATGATCTGTGTAGGTGGAAATGTCCACCTTTTTAGATGAAAATTTGTCTTCTCTTTTTCTTGTATTATTGTAAAAGGGAAAAAAAGAACTAGCTTTCAGCGTAGATCTTAATTTGGAATGCTTGTGTTCAGCAGAGAATGTCAGATGCAACGGTAATTTTGTTGTTGTACATGTGTGTACTCAGTTCATCATGAGAGTTGTTATTTTTCTTTGGTCTTTTTGCTGTCATTATTTTGCAGGCTGCGCACAGCAGCTTCACCTTAAATGAAAGGAACTGGATGAATATCAAGCAGGCTTCTTCTGGATGTTGTTATTTCTTTCAGTATTCTGTGAATTCAGAGTATGTCATAATGATACTTATTACTACTTGCATTAGAGAAAATATCTGTGTTTCTCTCAGGACTGGAGTAAGTGGATTGCACAAGCATAAGGAGTTTTTATCGGAACCAGTCTTGCTTTTCTTCAGTCTATTACTTTTCCTTTATGTCTCCTGTTTGCTTTGTCGTTTGCCTGTTTACTGTACTGGTAGAGACTAGAAGTTCATTAAGTTTTTTTTAAGCTTTTGCCTTGTTTTAGCTGAGAAAACGTTCTTGCAAACACAAGCCTGTGCCCAGAGAAGGTAGAGCAGCATCTGGAAGGTGTAATAAATAAGGTCACCTTTGTCACAAAATTTTGTAGGCCTCTATTGAGTTACTGGTGACTTGTTGTTACAGTCTCCTCTTTGTCAGTCCCTAGGATAAGGAGCAGGTCAGTACTGACCACCATTTACACTAGTGTAGCTTACTAACATGCAAATGAAAGCTGGGGGGTTTGACAGTTATGAAAAAGGTCCTGTTGCTGTGGGAACCTTTGCACCTCTTCCCTGGTGCAGCTGGTTTGTGGGGGAAATCAGGCTGTCAGCCCAGCCTCTCTGTAAGCAGGAACAAAAAGTAAATGTTTAAGAAACTCTCCAGCAATTTCAAGATTGGATAGAAAGATAAGTACACTGTTTGAACTTTGACTTTGAAATGTTTGTGGTGTTCTTAAAGACAGTAACCTTCTACCCACAACATAAAACCAAGTTTGTTCTGAAACCTACAGGGGTCTTTTTCCGGGTTGGACTTGACCACATCACTTTCTCTGGTGAGCCTACTTAGCATGCCAGAAAGAAGAGTGAAGGAGTTAAGCTTAAGAGTGCATCTGATATGCTGATTCAGAGACAGGATAGAGTACCTTCTCTCCTCCCCCAGTTTTAGTAGGTCATATTGTCAGCACATCTGCAACCATTTCAACAGACAGTCTGCAGGCTCCTCTGTCCTCCTGTAGCATCACCTGGCTAGCCCACTTCCATCTGAGCATCGAGATTGAGTTTATTGCCCTACTTTCCTCACTTCTCCGTACCGATTTAGAGCAGGCCAGTGATACAGTCACGTGCTGCTTAGGGAGAGGGGATCGTGGGTGGGTACCTTGAAGTTCTCTGTATTGTTGCACATGCTGATCTCATGTGCGAATGTCCCCTCAAGAAAGCCTTACTTTAATTCAGAAAAGAGACAGCTGATGCATATTTTCCTGCACCTGAACCTATAAAATGCATACCATTTCTTTCATGTATAAATACAGAATTCTTAGAAAGCAGCATAAAAGAGAATTCGTAATAAAGACTTGTCTGTTTCCCATTACAGCAGAGTATAGTCTTTTCATCTGCTCGTTTCATCAAAAATACATTGTCATTGTTAAATGAACAAAACCATGTTTCACTGCAGTACTGCCAGTTGCAAGCTGGCCTTTTTAACAAATACTCTCTCAGTTTATCAAAGTAATTGGAAATTGCTCCTTGGAGGCTTCTGAAACCATAACAAATATAGACAGTAATGACTTAGTAATCAGAAGACTGCAAAACAGCACAGAAAGAACTTTGCTGGCTGTTGCCAGCTTGTTCTTGTTTTGCTTAAGCTGCAGACTTGAAACATAACCACTAACCAGTTATTAAATAGCTGGCAGTGTAGTAGCAATTATGATAGTCTACTGTATGAACTTATTACCCTCATAAATATCTTGAGGATACAAGATTCATGTTAAATGGCATCCAAATGAAGTAAAGTTGTGTTGGTCATTCTTAAAAAGAAGATCTAGATGTGAGCTGTGGTGAGAAAAGGAAATTGTCACCTTCTCTAAACTTAAATAGTAACAATGACAGTTCCTTCATAGTGCACTCCTCCTTCTGCATGGAGGTGTCCATTTAGCATGTCTTCTGCTTGCTTGTTGAATCTGCTTGGACTTTCACCAGAAACTTGTCCCCTTTTCTTCCTTGCTGGTGATGGGTTAATAGCTTTGTGCCATTCCTCCAGGTATGAAGGGACTATGTAACTTTTGTCACAACTTGCTTAGTCCTTTTGCAAGCCTCAGGAAGCTGAGATGTTTTTGGAAACCACCCGGGAGACTCTGATCTTTGTGTTCCCTTCTTGCCAGATGTATTTTGAGAAGTCTTACTGTGTAGCATTCCTACTTGCATCTCCTTTTAAGTATCTGAACATGCAATGAATAAAAGTATAAGGTAAGGTTACCTTAATGTAACCTTTTGGAAAATATATTTATAGCTTTTGCTTCTTAGCCTGAGGAGTAGTGTTTAGACCTTTTTGAAAAAGTAGTTCTTGGCCTCTATAGATTTTGGTTTTAAGTAATTAGTCAGTAATGCACAGTGAGATCTTAATTACCTGGATTTCACTAGACAAATTGAAACTGTACTTTTTGATAGTGAAGGGAATTTTTTTTTTAAAGGCAAAAAAGATAGCTATTCATCTTCCTATTAGCTTTTTTTTTTTTTGTGATCTGACATGTCTCATCCTGTCATAACTGTCCTGATTTGTACTCTATCCAAAATTTGAAAAGTAGCAGCATTCTAGTCAAAATGTGTTTAAGACCTCAGGCTGTACCAGCTTACGCTTATTATCTTTAATGTGTATTAGATTTGTATCTAAATTAATTGACTATGCAGGCAAAAAGCAACAAAGTTAATCATTGTGTAGACTATGGATTTTTAATAAGGAACAAATATTCAGTATGCTTACTTCCTTTTAACAAAAAATAGCCAAATCTGTCCCAGAACTCGAGTTGAAAATTAGTATTACTGGATATAAGTAATAAAATGTTCTGTTGACCTAAAAGAACACCCACAACAAAATAAAAGTGATTGTAGTAAGAAGTTTGATTAACTGCTATGGTACTATATTGTACATGTGAACTTTCAGATTCCAAACCAAGCAGTGATAAAAACATCTACAGTTGTCACCACTGTAATAGAGCTGCGACCAGTTACCTTAATACAACCTTGTCTTTACTGTGAGTAGTACAGAATATTGGTCTGTGATTAAATTATTCAGCAGTTCTGTAGTTAGAAGTTTTATCCTGTTTTTTCTGTCGGTAGACATAAAGTTCTGAGGCACAGATAAGAGCAAAAAACCTTCCCTCATCTAATGACTGGAAAAGAGCAAGTATTCAATAAACCTGAAGCACCTGAATACTTCTGCAGACCCCTTATTGAGCCAGAAGATTGAACTCTTGAGTGTGACCACAAGCCTGCTGAAAACCTTAACTTCGTTCTTGTAACTGTTTGGGAGGTTGGATATCATGACTGAAGGCTGCTCAAGAGCCTGTCCTTGTCCTGCTTCCTTTCTTCTTTTCCCTGTGATCCTCTTTCTTACCTCTACATTCTCTAAAAAGCAAAAATCCCCAAACACCCTCCCACCAAGCTCCAATTTTAATGCTGTCTTTTTTTTGTTGTTTGTTTTGTTCAGGTATTCCTGTTTCTCAGCAGCACTTAATTTGGAATAATACAGAGCTGAAAGATGACTATTGTTTGAATGATTATAAGTGAGTATAGAATAAAATTGCAATGAATGTTTCTAAATTATTGTTAGCATAAACAATAGAGTGCTACAACTTTTTTTTTTATTTACAGCATTTCAGAAGGCTGCACTCTGAAGTTAGTTCTGGCTATGCGAGGTGGACCTATTAACACTAGAAGAGGTAGGTGTTAACTCAGTTAAAAATAATGATTTTTATGCAACATCTTATAACTGTAAACAGCTTCTCTTAGCTAAGAATTTTAGATGAGTGGAGTTTAGTTCCAAATTAATTGGAAAAATACTTAACAAATAGAGGGATATTTTTCCATCTTTTCTTACTATACCAACCACACCATCCTTTTCATTTTATTTACCCTTAGTTTAACAAGTATCTTTGTCTATAGAATAATCTAGTCTTAAAATCAGCAATTCTTCACCTGCGGAAAAAATGATACTGTAATGTCATTATACAAATAGCTTTTAAAATCTGGTTAGTAAGAATTGGGCATTGGTTGTCTAGTGGTAAACTGGGTTATGTGGATCATCTATAGAGGAATGAAAATGGAGAAATTGCCTTATTACTTTTCACTTGGAAAACGTACAGCATATTTCCTAGGGTTGGAAGTTCCCATTATAAATTGAACTGAGCTCTCAAAGGTGATCAAAACAATAATAATAATAACAATAATAATTTGGTTTTAATATGTTTTATCTCTTTGTAGTTCCTGTGGAAGACCCTATCAGGGAAATGGCTGAGTACATGAATCCCAGTAGGGATGAGATCTGTGAGAAAGGGCCAGCCAACAAACAAGTTACCTTCTTAGTTTATCGAGAAGGAGATCAGTTGAATTTCTTCCGTGTGGTAGATCGGGGAGATGGCACTTTAACACCATTATCTGAATCTTTGAGGTAAAGTTGGTTTTAATCTTTATATTATTCTTCAAAAGGGGGATGCTGCGTAATTTTCAGCTTTATTTGTTGACTTTGTCAAAATAATATCTGGAATATTGTGATAGTTTCACTGTGCTAGCCCTTGGTTAGCAGCCAACTTAGCTGTTCACCCACTCCCCCCCCCTACCCCCAGGGGATAGGGGAGAGGATTAGGGGGCAAGGATAAGGAAACTCATAGGTTGAGATAAGAACAGTTTTATAATGGAAATAAAAGAAAACTTGAAAATAGTAGTGATAGTGATAACAGTGACAAAATATGCAAATGAGTGATACCCAGTGCAACTGCTCACCACCCGCCAACTGAGCCCGGCCCGTTCCCACATAACGATCCTGGAGGAGTGACAATCCCGAACCGAAACCGCAATCCTGGAAGAGTGAGAGCCTGAGTGAAAGTCAGAGAGAGCTAAAAGAGGAAGAGACCCTCACTAATATACTGGACAAGATGTAATATGATATGGAATATCCCATTGGCATAACCAAATGCCAGTTTATCTTATTAATTTAAATATTCCTTGCCCACTTAGATCTTGTGCTTGTAGACTATCAAAACATGAAGTTCTTCACTTCCAGTGATAAAAATGCAAACACTGGTATGTTATCAGTGTCTCTCTCATAACAAATCCCAGGCTGAAAGCAAAATGCAGCACTATTCCAGCTACTAAAAAGAAACCCAGCTCTGTTCCAGCTAAAAACCAGGACAAATATTGCAAGAATTGTGCCCTAAGGACTACTAAGATGCTGTAACTGGGTGGCCTAACAATACAGTAGTACTTTGTGGTCAGTGGTCATGCTGACAGTCATCTGTCACTGTGTGTGTGTCACATAGAGTGAGATAAAGCTGACCTCCTGCTTGAGGCAATTCTCAACATTCCAGCCCTCTCTTGGGAACATTTCACAGGAGAGTCAGTTTGGCAGTATAGATATTAAAAACTTTTGTTAAGCGCTTCTCTTCTGTCTGAAGGCATTTGTTCAGTTTTATAAGCATTTCTCTGTTTGCAGCATAAACCTTCTTTTTCTTATGGGTATGACTTGACCAAATAGAAAGTGTGGGTTAGATGAGGGGACAGTGAGGTGGGTGAAGAACTGGCTCCATGGCAGAGCTCAGAGGGTTTTAATCAGTGGTGCAGAGTCTGGTTGGAGGCCTGTGGTTAGTGGTGTTCCCCAAGGATCAGTACTTGGTCCAGTCCTATTCAATGTATTCATCAGTGACTTGGACGAAGGGACTGAGTGTACCCTCAGCAGTTTGATGATGACACTAAACTGGTAGGAATGGCTGATACACCAGAAAGCTGCGCTGCCATTCAGCCAGATCTGGACAGGCTGGAGAGTTGGGCGCAGAGGAACCTGAAGTTCAGTGAGGGCAAGTGTAGCCCAAGGCAATGAGGGCTACTTGCCTCTGCACGTGGGGAGGAATAACGCCAGACACCAGTACAGGTTGGGGGTTGAACTGCTGGAAAGCAGCCCTGCAGAGAAGGACCTGGGAGTCCTGGTGGATGATCAGTTGACCATGAGCCAACAATGTGCCATTGTGGCCAAGAAGGCCAATAGCATCCTGGGGTGCATTAAGAAGAGTGTGACCAGCAGGTCAAGGGAGGTTCTTCCCCACATCTACTCTGCCCTGGTGAGGCCACATCTGGAGTATTGTGTCCAGTTCTGGGCCACCCAAGTTCAAGAGAGATAGGATGATTAAGGAGCTGGAGTATTTTTCTTATCAGGATAGACTGAGAGAGCTGGGCCTGTTTAGGCTAGAGAAGAGGAGACTGAGAAGGGGACCTTTTTAATGTTGACAAACATCTAAAGGGCAGGTGTCAAGAGGATGGGGCCAGACTCTTCAGTGGTGGGCGGCAGTAGGACAAGGGGCAGTGGCCAAAAGCTGGAACACAGGAGGTTCCACTTAAACGTGAGGAAAAAATTCTTTACAGTGAGGGTGACAGAGCACTGGAACAGGCTGCCCAGAGAGGTTGTGGAGTCTCCTTCTCTGGAGATGTTCAAAACCCGCCTGGACGCCTTCCTGTGCAACTTGCTTGAGGTGAACCTGCTTTGGCAGGGGGGTTGGCCAGGTCAAACTTTGTGGGAAATGGAAAAAGTAGCAAAGAGAGAAGAGAACAGAAACAAATCAAATCTTTTCATTTGATCTTTATAGAAGAAGGCTGTCAATCACTCTGGATACTGGTGTTCTCCATGCTAACAGTTGAATGTGTTTATATGTGTAGGTACACTGGTGACTGAGCATTTTGAGGCACTTGTTTATCAGCTTTTCTCACATTGCTTATGTGCGGAGCAGAATTTAGTGACTGCGATTTAGAAATGAGACGTTGGTCTGGGTTTTGTTTTCTATTTCTCAAGGTAATTTTATTTTATCTGTGCTTAAGTTAATGGCTAAAACTTGACAAGGTGTAAATACACACAATGATTATTGTCTCTGGATTAAAAATAAGGTTGTTGAAGTTGCAGTAGAGGTCTGGCAGGCATCTGTCCTGGTTTTACAGTGAAACTATCACAGTATCGGTGTAAAAAGTGTTACAACAAGCTACTCATCATTTTTGAGGCAGGCATTTTACAAGCAAGATCTCCAAAATGTTGACACCTGTGGACAAAGTAATTTGAAATTTACTCATTGGAAAATGGACTAAAAGTACCATCAAGAACAAAGCTCCCTGTGTAACCTCTATAATTGTACAATCACATTAAAGCAAAAAAATCCTTTTGTTACTCCATTTTTTACAGTTTTTGGCTCCTATTTAGCCAGAAAATGCAGGAAAAAGGATAACAATTCTTTTTGCATCAAAAAAACCCCCCCAAAACAACCCAACCCAAAACCAAACCCACACACCACAACCAAACATGTGAGACACTTTACTATTCTTTCCATCTTTACCTTTATCTTGAAGGAAGGGAAGTTCAAAGAATTGTTTGGAGTTGGTGACTTAAGTCTTTACAGAGTTAAAATTCTGTTTTTCTTTAGTTTTGAATCTTTACCACTGGAGGTATATAATATGCACATGGACTGTCCCCACATAGAGCTGTTCAGTTTTTGGTAGGAAATGACTGGACTATTTTGCTGACTATTCTTTTGAATTTGCTGCCATCTTGCTCTTAAAGATCCGTCTCCCAGCCGTGCTGCCTTCGGAATTTTCTTACATTTTAGGAAATAGATTTGGAGAGTCAGTGCAAAAATACTGGCTCTTGACTAAGGGCAGCAGAGTATTTCCAAGAATCAGGTAAGGTGCCAGCTCTAATTAACGACATTTTTTTTTCTTTTTGGTACTGACGTTTTCATGATCTTTAATTCTTCCTTGGTCTCTTTTGGAGAGAGAAACTTTGGTTAAATCTACTAAGACATTTTTATGAACACAAGAGAATTGCCTGATTGCAGTGATTTCTAGATGCTGACAGCCTAATGGAAGAATTAAAACACTCTTTAAAATGTACTATATACAGTGTTGAAAATGCATCAATTCGTAATGAATTGGACACTCCTAAGGGTTTTTTCATTTCGCTGTCAAACGTTGGATGTGTGTTAGTAATTAATGCTTCATTACTTCATAAGAAAAACAAGTCAGATACTGACTTTAAAACATTGAATTTTTGCATTCTGTTAGAATACAGAATGGAAAAAGGCAATGTGATGCTACAAAGTTCCCGTGACTACCGAGTTAAAATATTTTGCCTTGGGACTAGCAGTTCTAATCTGTTTATTTTTTTTCCAAATATGAGACCCTTTGGTTACCTAAACTAGTCCTTATTTATTTATTTGAAATGTAGAAATAGAATATCACATCCACATGGGGGACCCCTCCTTTTCCATTTATGGTGAGAACACCCCTCAGAGTGGATAGAAATTTGGACTGTCTTTCCATCCCAGTGTCTGTTTAATTGGAAAACAGATCACCTTGTTACCTGAGAGGCACAGTTAACAGCTTTGGCTGTACCTTCAGTAGACATCTGTGGAACTGGATATCCCCTCTGTGGGGAAAATACATAGTGAGTGTGAACCAACTGTATGTGGTATAACAACTACCCAGAAGTGTGGCTGTGTTCTGATTTCAGCATCATCACTTTGCATGAGCATCTTTTAAGGAAGGCTATGTGATAAAATAAATGGCTTTGAAATGCCTTTGCATGCAGTTTTACATAATGCTTTGTCAACAGATCAACTATGGATATGGCTTTCTAGTTGTGAGAATACTCTACATTGAAAACATAGTTTGTGTTCACCCTCTAATAGAGTAATTTATTTTTTTTTCTTTTCAGCAATGGTTCAGTTTATAATTTATATGCTGATGATGAGGATGAGACAGAGGCCTCACCTTCTGGCCAACAGATTATTGAGAATTCAATTACTATGAATAAAATGAAACTGCTCAAGGCAAAGATGGAGAACATGAATCTGAGTAAAAAGGTGAAGTTGTGATTTCAGTTTTTCTGTCGTGCAATGACTTGCACTTTCCTAGCGCTGGCTTTTCTAAAAAGCAGGTCAGATACTTTGCTGTCTTGGGAACTGAAGTGATCAAGGGTAGATGATTTCTTATCTGTTGTTTAAGTAAATGCTGTTGTATAAGCAGTATAAACAATGTGGGGCATTGGCTTTACTTGGATCTACTTGTCCACATTCAAAGAATTCACTACTGGTCCTGGATTTATTTGTGTGGGTGGTTTTATTTGGTTGTGTGAGTTTTTTGGGGTTTTGTTTGTTTTTTCTTCCACTGCTTTAAGGAGTGTTGGTTTGCAGTGCTGCTCTGGTAAAAGTCAATGTTTCTCTTAAATGAAACTTCCTTAGAAATACTGTAACTGAAAAGCCTATAAAGTTAAATATGAGAAAGAGAGTACCTAGAAGATAAAATTTTACATTGGGTTCGTGTCTGTCTAGGTTGTCTTAGATGTACAATGAAGATTACATACTTTCTTTCATTGTTCATCTTGTTTGAGACCCTAAGCTCTTCTGCATAACATCAGTGGCATTCTGGCTTCCCTTTTCTGTTCCTCTTACACTGTGGACTTTTTACTTAACAGCCTTTTCTGATTACAATCTTGGATTTTATTATTCAGATGTTGGGGTGAAGTCTTGACGGCTAGTAGCAGATGAGGGAGTAGAAAGAATGCTTTCCTCCTTTCTGGCCTCACACTGTCTGAATTCCTGGGAATATGATCTCTGTCAGGTCTTTGAGTGCAATTGTTATTCAAAGAGTAATTGTTATGTGTGGGTTGTTTGTTTGTTTGTTTGTTTTTAATAGCCTAAGAAAACTGTCAAGGTGAAACCTCGTCCTCCAATGGCTCCTCGACCATCTAGTGGCTCAATGGCTGCTGCTCGTCACCGTTTTTTAAGAGTGCTCCCCCATATCGGACAGTCCTGCCTACCTCCTCCTGGGAATTCATATCCCTCAGAGTCTTCCCAAAATGCACTTTCAGCATTGGCTACTTTGGCCACTGCTGGTAGAACAATGCCATCCACAACTAATGACTTTCTTAGGGAAGATGACACTTGGCAGAACAACTCTTGGTCTCAGTCAGTCAGTAGCATCAGGTTACCACCGAAAATATCTCGTGTCGAACTAGAAAATGCAAAACTACCTACAAATAGTATTCTGACTCCTATTTCATCTCTGCCTGCAAGGTCAGAAAAAGCATCTGAAAATGTGACCTCAACAAGTGAGGAGGATGCTGTTTTGTTTCCAAATCTAACAAATATAGAACTATATGGAACAGAAGAAAAACTTCTACCTGAAACAGATACTTTTGCTTTGTTAACAGAAGCGAGCACCACTGAACAGTGTAGTGAGATATATGACATAGGAAAAGTGAACCCAGAACTTGAACTGTCTGATGGAGATGAAGAATCTAAGGTTGTAGAGCAGCATGGAAAACCTATTGGCAAAGTGCTGAGCACTGCAGCAATGGGGGCTGGTCTTCTCAGTACTCATGAATTAAGTCCTCAGAAAAATCTGCTTTTGTCACCTCTTCGGTATTCAGCACAAGCGGCACGTCACAGTTCTCTGAAACCACAAGGACAGTCCAAATGCTTTGAGGCTGGTAACTTGAGATCTACAGCCTCCCCAAACGTGCTTCGGTCGTTAGAAGTCCATAGCGTAGCAGACTCCTCTTTTTCTAGGACTACTAGATTTCATAGTGTGAAAGTGGAATCACTTGGCAAAAGACCCGATGTAATTTCTAAAGCAGAGGCTAGGGACATCACAGATGTGGCTAACAAGGCAGCCAAAGAACCTGTAAGTTCTGTAAGTAACTTGGGATTTCTGGCTTCGCTGGCCCGAAGCACAAACAGGGAAACTTTACAGAGTTCCTGTAGGACAGGAAGGTTTCGGACTTCTGGTATTGCACTACCTACAAACCTTCAGCATTTTCAGGAAAAAAGCTTTAGGAAAACTGCTCCTCCAAATGAAGCTGCTGAATATATTCTAGTGAGTACTAATGCTTCCAAAGAAATTGAAGTTTTCCTATCTTTTCTGGTACTGGTGTTACAAAAACTGTACTTTCATGTGTGTGTCTGTGTGTCTTTTCAGGGAAGGCAGATGGCCGGGGGAAGGTGCACTTAGATCCCTGACAGTCTTAAGCTGTTTTCTGAATGAATTTCTGTTGGTGTCTTAACTGCCTGTTTATCTAAACAGGTCCTAGAAGTAATTTTGCATAAAAATTAAAGTGGTTGTTCACAACTAAAATTTTTACTTACTGTAATGATGGAATTAACCAGCATCTGTGTTTGCAGTGTCATCTGACTTCTCCTGCTGCTCACTCACTGTCATTTATTAGAAAGTTTGCCCTGTGACTGGCACCATATGGGCATTGCTTCAGATCTCTAAAATACTTTGTTTTGGTGTGTTGTAAAGTATGGGGAGACTGTTAAATAGTCATTTTAAGTAAGGCTTTATATTGCAGAATTTTAATTTTTTGTTCAGAAGTCTTCTTGGACTCTACATAGGTACATTGATTGATACAACATTAATTTCAAATAAGCTGATACCAGACTGCCTAATTATTCATTTAATTTCCATCTGCTAGTAATTTCCTTGTGGAAATTTTTTTTTTTTAGTCTGCGCATGGGCTTGGAATGAATGGAAGTATTGCAGTTTTAGGGAAAAGAGTAGGTAAGTAATGTGACTTAAATAATAATTGAAGATGACTCTTTAATCTTTCCTGATATATCACATATGTAGAGGACGAGAATAATTTATCTTTGTAAGGCATATGTCTTTCAAAGTCCTTGCTGTATTACACTTCTGTAGCATGGTATAACTTTTAATATTTTAAGCAATTCTTTAGCATACAGATGTCATCCAGATCTTACGTAAACGTAACTGGGACTCTTCCCTAGGTTTTTTAAATACTTAGAGTCCTGCATGTCATCTGTAGATATAAACATTGCTTTCAGCTTTGAAGTTTTCGAAAGGTCAGTTCTGTGAATACTTCTGAGTGTTCTAAAATCAGAGCAAAATATATCAGTAACGTTGTCTTTAGGACTACGTCCGGAGAAGCATTTGTCAAAAGAAAAGTGGGGAGGAAGCAATAAGGGCATGGATGCTGAAGATTATTGATACCATGCAGATTTTTCTCTATTTTTTGTGATGGGCATCATTCTTTCTGCCCTAGTTTTGGTAACTGTGGAGTGCTTAATGCTTGACATCTACTGAAAATGGATGTGATGTGCCTTATTATTAATTTATGTGATTAATTCTCTTGGGAGGAATGGAGTTGTCTAGATTAGTACTTTTAAAACTCTTAAGGCAGTGAGCTAAAGATTCTCAGCACAATCATCTTTTTTTCTTCACATCTTTGACTTGCAGTTTGCAAGTTTTCTTTCTGAATAACCTTAGGAAAAGAGAGGCCGGCATGTATTCCAGGATTTTGAGATCTAAGTATAGAGAATGAGCTAGAAAATAGATCTTCAAATAGCAACTGCAACTGGAAAAATGATGTAATTGTAATGATATGGGAGCAAAAGCTGATAAAATAGTGGATTATGCCTTTGTTTTACAACTGGGAGTGCAGCTTTGAATTGGCAGTCAATTAATAAACAAGTCTGTCCTCACCTACTCTGTGGTAAAAGAGGTGATACCCTAATAGGCACGTCTGTATAATGGGGAGGCCTACTGTTATCTGCATCATTTTGGATAGAACTATGAAGAAGATGCTCCTCTGCTGTGTCTTATGTCAGACAAAAGTGTACTTTCCAACAGGTTCCAGACATGAAAAAGACAAAGTTGTTGGTGTCATATCATGGAGGCTCTTGAGAGAGAGGTGGCTGGTGTAACTGGCCAAAGGACAGGTTCAGTTTGTTATCCAAGGCCTTTGTTTACATGTATTTGCTGTAGGGACCATAATTGTGAGGCTGGGTGTATTGTTTTTTCTGTTTAAGTGTGGTCCAGCAGGGGCTGTCTTCAAGCTCTGTGTTTTTCACAAACTGGGCGAACTGATGGTCCTGAAATACTGTGCTTTTAGATGATGGAATCGATAGCATGGACAAACATTGCCTGGAAGTTTCCATGCTAGATAGCAATGGGATAGCACTGGTTGGTAGTGATGACTGCAATGTGTAGTTGACTGCCTGGTGTTACTATTGAATGTATCCTACTGTATCTCAGCTGAGAAATTACTGTTGGGATTAAGGGTGTGTTGGACAAAAAATACTTCTGAACTCATGAGGTCACTTTTTGGGAGCATT